AGACATATATATATATATATATATATATATATATATATATATATATATATATATATATATATTATTATATATTCATATATATATATATATATATATATATATATATTATATATTGCATATACGTATAAATACATATAAGGTATTTATGTTTTAGTAATGGCTTCGGCCATAGGACTACAGCTATTCCATCCCCTATTCCTCCCGTGTACAGCCTCCGGGCCCCTCAAACAGAGTTCAATATCCTCTCATAGTTGAAAGCTGATCCGTCTGGAATTTTATTTGGACATCAGTTTGCTCACAGCGACATTTTGCTCTTCCCTTTGAAAAGGAGTTGCTTATAACCCATTTTTCTTTGTCTATTTCTGTTCAAAATGTGCATCTTGGCTCCTGGTAAAAATTATTTTTCCATTTAAAGAGTAATAAAAACGCACACACACACACACACACACACACACACACACACACACACACACACACACACACACACACACACAACACACATATATATATATATATATATATATATATATATATATATATATATATATATATATATATATATATATATATATACGTGCACGTCAATATCCAGATATTTGTATTGCTGTATCATATTACATACGTGTATACCGTATTTGGGTATCATACAAAGACAGATCCTATGATGACTCACAGAGGAAAGAGACAAACAAAACAGGAAAGAAAAAACAGACAGATAAGAAAGAGACGAGTGAAGGCACAGACTCACGTAAGGATGGGGGAACAGACAGGGAAAAATGAAATAGATTGGAATTTTTTATCATGCATTTGCCATTTGAAATCTTTGGGAAAACGTTCTCTTCATGTTGAATAGAAATATTTTTCATATAACCCTGCTGTGCTTTTAGCGCTGAAATTTTAAAATGACAGGTTAGGTTTTACTTTTTTGTCTGTCTGCATGTCTCCCTCCCCCCCTCTCTCTCTCTCATATATATACATATATATATGCATTCATATACATACATACATATATATAATATATATTATATATATATATATATATATATATATATGAAATACATAAGTATATATATGTGGTATGTGTGTGTATGTGTATGTGTGTGTGTGTGTGTGTGTGTGTGTGTGTGTGTGTGTGTGTGTGTGTGTGTGTGTGTGTGTGTGTGTGGTGTGTGTGGTGTGTGTGTGTGTGTGTGTGTGTGTGTGTGTGTGTATGTGTGTGTGTGTGCACACGCACACATACATCCCATCCCGTATCATCTACCCAGGTAATCTCTCAACCTTCAAAAGACACCCCTCTCTCAACTTTAATATCCTCTTCCTCATCTTCTGCATGGTCGTCCCCATTTCCTACATTCTCCTCCTTTATTACAACTCTCTAACCTTATTGCCCTCCCTCTCTCAGCACTACACCACTCCATACGACTCCCTCTACAGTTCCCTCCTCTACAACTCTATTGAGTGCTCTATTTAGCCCAACCAAATGGGATCCATATTTTGTGATTCCCCCTACAGCCCCCTACTCTTACAATACCCTTCTTTTTACTATCTAACCTGGTTAACCTTACTGGTAAACCCTTTTCCGTTAAACCCCACTGTGGAACATTTACCATCTCCCCAGCAGATTGCCCTGCCTACGACAAGCCTGTGGAGAAGACTGTGAAGATCTACTTGCCTGCCTTACTGACAATGATGCAGCACCATACAGATTTACGCTAATCCTCCTAGAGGCCGCTGCAAGTCCAAAGTCAGTATTGCCAAGATTACCTTCCATAGACATGACCTTCCCCATAAGATTTATATGGGTGGAGAATCAGCTTAAACCCGTCAGTGTCAAAATCAAATCCTTTTTCCTATCTAAATCCAGATACTTCAATATCCACAACTTCCACTGCTCCTCCTCGCCTTCCTCGAGGGGCATTTCACTTCGGAAATCCCTCACGCTCTACTTGGAAATCAGGGGAAAAAAATCTGGAGATAATTAAGAAATTCTTATGAAATCCGGAAACCCGGAAATTCAAGGAATCTTAAGGGCAGAAGGGCAGAATACTAGGTGGAGGCCACTGTGCAAGAGCTTTTCCTTAGTTGCCTTGGAGTTCGATTGATAAACACAACCATAAAAAACGTATTCAGTACCTAGTATTAAAATATAAATGTTAATTTCTTATATGTCTATTTTTACCTTCAAACCTATTTAATAATCAGACAAGTGAATTTATCAGAAATCCCTGACACGGTTTCATAGTTAAATGCTCTGTGACCCTGTGTGCCAAGTTTCAAGTGATTTGATTGGCCTGTTTGGTGTACCAGTCCCACGGATTCCTTTTTTTGGGAGAGCAGGTTTAAAAAATGCCGGAGAAATGATTACGGATAGATCAAGCAATAAAGAATGTTATGAATGTAGCTGCAAGGTCAAGTGAGTTTATTTTAATCCCCTAATATCTATAGCATTTTTTCCTTTTCTTGTTTGGAAATAGGATTGTTCCTTTTAAGATGCTCAAATTTTTGAATAATTGTTACTATTTCCCGAGGTTAATCCAACAGATTATGACGAAAACGCAAAATCTAGAGGGGTTACAGTATAAGGTACAGTCTTGTTTTGAAAATCTCGTACGCTAATTTAGGTAGGGAAATCCCCCTCGGCTTTCCCCATCACACTTTCCTGGTGAGACCATATCCTCTACATTAAAGAGAATATCTGCCACCAGCTTCGACTCCTGCAAACTCTCATATATCCTGGGGCTGTCATATATATTCCTCTGTCTCTACCTATATCCTTGCGCACCTTGATACTGTTCATCAGCGCAGCTTATGCTTAGCCCTAGGCGCTTTCCACTTTTTTCCTGTTGAGAGCTTTTACGTTGAATCAGGCCTACCATCCCTTTCCTGACGCCGCAGCAGTGCGCTTTTTTGGTGGGGGGCTACTCTTTTATTTACCGTTGTTTGTATCTTTTGTTGTAAGCACACGAGAAACATTAGGAACTTATCTAACACGGTAATGAAATCTGATTGGCACTTTCTGGCATTCCTTTCAATTTAAAGGAGAGCCGGTACACACACACACACACACACACATACACATACACATACCATACACACACACACACACACACACACACACACACCACACACACACATATATATATATATATATATATATATATATATATATATATTATAATATATCTTCTAGTCCATAGTCTGTTAAGACCGTAGGAGCACTGTTGAATCCTCAACTCTTCATTTCCATTCCACTCGGTCATGAGCTGCTCTAACTGCCTCATGCTGATAAGCCGGTGTCGCCTTTGATGTTTTGCATCCACGATATCCGAGGCCCCCCCCCCCCCCCCCTTTTTTTCCTGGTGGCCTGCCGTGCATAATGTTGTTTGCCAGGGGAAGTTTGTCGCTGTGCCTTGTTACATGTCCGAGCCATTTGCGCTGTCGTTTCCGTATTACTGATATCAACATTTCTGTGTTTCCATCTTTTTGTTTGAGTTCCTCTTTCAATGAAGTTCGTTCTATGGGCTGTAAATGGGATTCGTAATAATTTTCTATAGCATTTCATTTCAAATGCGTTGATTTTGTTTTATGAAACTGGATCCAGTGTTCACGTCTCGCATCCATATAACGCTATTACTAGTGTTATCGTCCTTAAAGAGTTTTTTCCACATATTATTTAGATTTATTAGAGAAGACGTTGCCATTGCTAATGGCTTCCGTTCTTTCCCAACTATCAGTATCTTGCTCTCTTCTGCGCTTACTTCCATGCCATATTTCCGTGATGTCGAAGATTTTCTTCAATCTGCAAATAAGATCGATGTCATATGCAAAGCGTAGATTTGTTATTGTTTGTCCCCCTATTTTCATACCACTGTTCAACTTGTCGAACAAGTCCAAAGTGTCCATCATGATTTGTTCAAGGAAAATGTTGGAGAGTGTGGGTGATAAGACGCACCCTTGTCTTACGCCGACATTTAATTTGAACCATGGACCGCATTTATCTCCTGTCAATATTGTGCTTTTTGCGTGCTCATATAGTGATTTAAGGGTCAAAATTATATTTCAACATTGTTAACCATAACACCTCATGCCACACACGGTCGAAAGCCTTCTTGAAATTAATAAAATTGTGTTAAATGAAATTTTGGTGCTCTATGTATTGTCCGTTTATAGTTCTCACGTTACCGATTTGTTCCACGGTTCCACGTCCTTTAGTGAATCCCGCTTGTGCATCGTTTATAATTTCCCTAGTTGTAGGCTTCATTCTGGATAGTAAAATATTGAGTAATATTTTGCTTGAGTGGTTAATAAGGCTAATTGTTCTGTTATTTTTACATTTTTTTAGTATTTGCTTTCTGTAGTAGGATGTCTATCTCTGGATCACCACCTGTTTGCAGAAGCTTTGTAGTGATATTATCTGTCCCTGGTAACTTGCTATTCTTTAATTTCCTAATGGTTGCAATTATTTCATCTTTTAGAATTTTTAGTTGTTGTTTTTTTCTTCTACATATTGATGTTGTGTTACTTCTTTGGTTAGTCTAGTGGGAGTTTCCGGATCTTTTTGGACTTCACAATATTCTTTCTATTTGGTCAAGATGTCATCAATATTTGTTAGCAAATTCCCGTCCTTGTCTTCAATTACTTGGGTTTTAGGTCGCCATTTCTGGTGTGATGAGTCTTATCCATGTTGAATGTTTTTTTGCTGTTTTATGTTTTAATGTTAAGTTTTATGTTCTGTTCAATTTCTTTGCACTGTTCGTTTATCCACATTTCCTTGATTTTTCTTCTCATTCTCATATTGTAATTGTTATACTCCTTACTGTTTATCGGATTTTTGTTTCGATTTAGTTTTAATGTCCTTCTTTCATTACAGGCCTGCAGCGCTTCCGCTATTACCCAAGGATGCTTTTCCTTTTTACATGTACCCAACATAACCTTTGCTGTGTCATTTATAGCCTTCTCCATTTCTGTTCATATGTCTTGCATGTTATCTAATAAAAGTA